CACACTAACAACCATACACACACACACACACACACACACACGCACGGACAGATAAAGGACTTTTCTGGTAACTTAGCAGATACTTGCAATAGATAGACACAGAAAATAGTCTGAACAAGCATCTTTTCTTTTGTTGATCACAGGTTTCACAAGCGGGGAGCGTATGATGTAGAGAATGAAGAGAAGGTCAAACTAGGGTTAGCGTCCAACCACTGAGGAGACAAAGAGAGGTGAGTAGTGAGGAGCAGGGCTACGAACACATACACTGACAAACACCGTCATTTTTCTTTCTTCTTCTCCGTCGCCTGAACGAAATAAGGTTTTACTCATTGTCCTCTCCCTCTTTTTTTTTTCATGTCAGGCAAAGATGTGGAAATTCTACCTCAAAATAGAAAAAGAGAAGTGAGCTGCGAAGGGAAGGTCCTGGAGGGAAAAGGATCGTACACGAAGAAGGGAACCGGGGTTATCGTCTGCCTTGACCCTCTGCGAGATGTTCAGATGAAAAATGGGCAGGTGAACATATTCCTGAAGGCCTCAGAAGAAGTCGGCCCACCTAAAACTGGAATACTAACGGCCCAGAGGATGGACTGAAGATGTGACGAGCCGTAGGTGATGAGCACGAAGGAACGAGGAGAAGAAGAAGGAACATGTCTAGACTCTGTGCTGCTTCTTGACTGTGTGAAAAGAGGTCGTTTTGGACTGAACTGAACAAGATTTTCAACTAAAACATTTTGTATTTTCCTGCACAAGTCCATCTTTTTTTTTTGTTGTGTACAGTAAACCGTATATTTATAATTTTAATTTATTTATTTAAGCTAACTGTATTTATAGAGATTTTAACCACCTCCAACCGTTTATAAAATAATGATGTTACAGTTGTTTTTATATTTGTTATTGGACGATATTTATTTATGAAACAGAAAAGCAAACAATGCTGAAGCTCATGGAGAGATTCAGTATTTCATGAAAAGGGATTTGATGCATAATTATCTGATATCTGGCTTTAAATTCCGCGCTCAGTAGATAATCAATAGCACTGTGATTATTGGATTGATTGTTGAATAGACATGATCGTTATTTAAGTTATTCAGGCTAGTGTCATTGAGAGCAACGCCCTGCTCGCACTCACACGATTACAAACATTCACACCTGGAAGCTGCCCAGTTGGATCTGTAAGCCGCTAGGCAGCACTGGGCCTTGCTCAAAGGCACACCTGCGGTGGTAATGGGGTAGGAGCTGCTCTTACTCGCAAATTTATCTTGCAGATTTGGGGATCTTTATGCCGCATAAGGCTGAGTCTTCTGCCTCAGTGTTATCAGATCAATGCCTGCCATTACGATACATTGCACTGGCTGTGTATTGATTAAAAGCAACAAAAAACCTGCCCTCAGCGACTGTATTGTTACGAAGCGTTTAAAAACGAGTCGAATATCAAATGCACTGTAGCAAGAATTTGGTATAAATATGTTGTCCTGTTGTCTTACCGCCGTTAGGGGAGTAAATCCTTCAGATCCATGTTAAGCTGTCAAGCAAAAGAGAAAATAAAATGTGAATTACAGTGTTCCACCCTTTCAAATCCTGTCCTGCAGTTTTGAAGTGATTTTTATTTATGTGATTTCTTTTTTTTCAGAGCGAAATAAAAAAAAAAGACTCAAAAAGACTTTTAGACTCATGTCATTTTTACTTCATTACATCAAACCTCTGTGCTCTCAGCATTAATAGGAACTTCACATGTTGTACTGGCAGATCAGTTAAAGCTATAGGTCAAGGTTATTTTTGACTTCGGTTGACTTCCTGAGTCGGGCCGCACATTAATGTAATATTTTAGAGTGGCCGGTTTCGGATAATGATAACACAAGTGTGTTCTTTTGGCCCATTCAGGAGCTGTGATTAAAGTAAACACAATATTTGTATTTCCCCTGTCTCTGTGTGAGCAATCGCTTTTAACCGAAGCACCTGTATCCTGGCCATTAGTGCTTTTATGTCCAGTGCTCAAAAGGCAAATATTTTTAGTCAGTGCTGTGTAGATAGGGCGTCAGAAAGCCCTCCTAGTTTATTATGTTTAATATGGTTATCTGGATAGGTAATGAAATGTGGATACCAATGTTTAATCACTGTTTATTTTCAACTGTACTGTTAAACAAATGATTGTTTGCCATGTTTCCCAGAGGCCTTTCTCTTTGGACCAAATGTAAAAGAAAACATTGTGAGTTTCATGTGTTGTCAACAGCGTCATCAGACTCACTGACAGATCAATCATAATGAGTGTGGTCAGGACTCACTTGCCGCTGTGTGTACGTACTGAGCCCCGGGGAACAGATGTGCGGCGTACACGCCGGAGAACACCTGATGTTCAGCCACAACACGTCGTGCCACAGCACCACACACCATTACTCACACAGCCAACAGATGTCATGTTCAAAGACACACCACCAAGTCTTACATCTGAGACCTCAGCCAGCCCTGAATGCCGCAGAGTTCAGAGAGACCACATACAGCAAATTCTAGCAGGATGCAACAATGCTGTCATGTATGCTGCATGCAGGTTTAATGGGGGTAAGGAAAGTCAAAAGACCCAGCTGGACTCAAAGGCAGGCTTAGACCCAACCATTTGTTAGTCACCCCTTGAAGTCACCTCCTACACGGATGTTGTTACACAGACACTAGTGTGTGTGTGTGTGTGTGTGTGTGTGTGTGTGTGTTGGGGGGGTATGTGGTAGAGTAATGCTTTGGTGCTGGGTCTATGTGGGTTACAGGGGTTAACCAACCATTACAGGCAAAAAGTACACAGCAAAGCAGGAGTGTTTACATGTTTGCTATGGGATAGTTTTCAACACTGTTTGTGGCTTCGATTCCCATACATTCTATACTGAATAAACAAAATACTGTCGGACTCATATGTTCACACTGGGGGATGGTATAGTTAAAGACAGATGTTCAGCTGAACCATAAGGGTGTGGTACCTGATTCAGGACTCAGCATTCCTTATTCAGCAACTAAAAGACAGCAGTTCAGCATTTAACTTTCTCAGTAAAAAAGCAATCCATGCACATGTGTTCAACTTGTACTCTAAGTAGATAAACTCAATGCATGTCAGATATGTCAAGTTCAATTCATAATACTTTATTTGTCTTTCAATTTGGGGCAAGCAAATACACACAATTCATTCACATGAATAACACTATTTAGAAGACAGAATATGATGGTGTAGGCCAATATGCTTCCCATGCATTTGGGTATCTTGAGTGCCTATATCAACCCACAAAGAGTGAAATAAGACAAACAAGTTAGTTTTTTAGCTGCAGATTTTGCACAGCAGTAGTTCTCCTGAAGACCTGTAAAGAGACTCTGATGTGGAAAAACATTCAGACCCATTGGATTATCTGAAAAATGCTGTCACAAAGCTGAAACAGATCTCTTTTTATTTACTCATGAAAAGTTGATATTTTGGAGACATTTGGTTTTCAGGGGACAGCGACAATATGCTGACGATGTTGGTCTCTCAGTTACAAATAAACGTAGCTAATTTTCCATTCTGTATTTGCCACAGGATTTCATACGCAGTATGTATGTATGTGTATGTGTGTTTGTATGTGTGACAGGGGCTAGTCATTTACCGTAGTGGAGCCACCTAATCCTGGCCTCTCAATGTCAAGTAGCAGAGCACACAGAAATAGTGCTGTGCAGTCATGCTCACATAGCTGCTATTCCCGGGGCTGGTGGCCACCAAAGAGCCAGAATGCCGCGAGAGAAGGGAGTTCGCTGCGTTCTGTTTCTCAGTGGCCTGGTGGACCACAGCCAGGAAATGATGTCCGTCATGGTGGCCCATCATCAGGCATCAGCACCGCACCAGTCCTGAATTTTCCTTGTAGGGTCACAGTAATAGCAACGCTGTCTCTTGTCCTCTCCTCCCGTGTTCTTGAATGTTCCTAGAGAGACATAACAAGGATATGTCCACAGATCAGGAGGCATTTCCTTGCAGGGTGGCCAAAATGCATTGGAAGCGGAAGATTTCATTGTGTGCCACAGTTCGTGGGAATTGCCGGTGTACCAAGAATGCAGTTGTTTTCGATACTTCTTTGGCAACATTTGTTAACATCAAGCTAGCCAAAACTAATGTTACTGTATGCGCCTTTGTCTGTAACATCAAAGACTTTTATGTTTCACACAAATTTTTGTTTAATTTACAGTGACAATGTTTTGAAGATCTCTCTTTCAGTACATTATGTATGTTGGAGGTTGCTGACTTCTGCTTTAAAATGTTTACAATATAATCTCTTACTTTACTGATGACAGATTCTGTATCAGTGCAGCATATACGTGTTCTGATAATGTTGCATAGTTTCAGCAACCTAATATTTCTCTCTGAAGCTTTTACGAAAAGATCTAAATCCATCAGCAAAGTCAACTATTCTGATGTATTGATACATTGCCAAATAGACTTGATCATCAGATGTTATAGAGGTTGTATTGGATTACCTCAGTGTGAGGAGGGTGAGTTTGTTGTGAAAGGTGTTTCCTGCCCCACTGAGGACCAACAATGGGTGGTTTCCACTGATATGGAAGTGCGCACGCCAACAGTTGGAAACGCAATTATTGTCTGACCGGATATCATCAACTGGAACACATTAATACCAGAAATTAATAAGTGTGTGTCAGAATCTGCTTCAGATGTTAAAGATAACATTTAAATTTGGTATTCCGGAAAATAAAATCAGTTTGCATGTGTGTGTTTGCTCGATACTAGCACAAACTAAGATCGTCTATTGCTCCTGTAAAGTAGAAATGAAGCGCCAGCACAGCCTCAGTGTGCTACTCAGGCCTGATTGATGAGGTGATAACAGCGACATATTGTATTCATTGTCGCATGACAAAAAGAAGCTGCGATGGATCAGTGTGTTGTCCAGTCTGTCGTCCCGTTAACACGCTGAGGATGGCCAAGGAGGAGGAGAGGAGGAGGACAGGTGGGAGGACAGGATGACAGGAACGAAGAGAAGGAGTGAGGGATAAGGTCGACGCGGTAACACGAGACAGGGAGCGAGAGACGAAGAGAGGATGGAGAATGGGTCAAGGTGAGAACTTCTACTTAAGAGGGTGCAGACTTGTCTTCGCCTGCCAGTGGATAATAAAGATTAAGGAGTTAGAGGAGCGGCCTCACTGCCTATTATAGCTCTCACTCTTCCTTCTCTGGTCCTTTACTTTGATTTACCCTTCAGTTCCTGTGAACTACCTACTTTATTCCTGTCCTCCTTACATCCCTGTTCCCGCCTCCATTTCCTCATCCTTTTCCTGTCTCCTTTTTCGTCCTTAACCCCTAAAACTGACACATGTTCAGAGGCAATCTTACCAAAAGGGCAAAAGAAGCCACTTAGATGCCTGCAGCCTACAAATGGGAAATGAAAAATATTAAGTAATGAAGGCTAATTTTTCATTAATTTAGAAGAGATTTACTTACTGACCAACTCCCCTCATTTGTCAGATTCAAAACTGGTCATTCTTGAGTCATGCCCACTCCCTCCACTACTTCATCAAGCTGAGCTCTCAACCTCAAACATTTTTTTTAACCACTGCACCAAAAGCTACAAGGGAAATATGAAAATATTGCTACAAGTTCTCATTCCCAACGTGCCAAATAACGCAGTTTGTCAACAACACTTTTTTCCTAAACCTAAGTGGTTTTGTTGCCGAGACCTAATAGTTTAAAAGACACTATGAATAAAACAAGCATTTATTAACACGCTGTCGCTGGCATGAGCAAAACTGGCGCTCGTAGGATATGTACAGCCTCATAGTTTGAAGATTGAGGCCAACAGTAAAAAAGTTTTCTCGCTTCCCGGGTTTACTATGCAGCCCACTGAATATGCACAGTAGTGTTTCTCACAAAATTGGAAGGAAGGCTGAGCGCCGTATCCAGATCTTATTATACATCCATGGCTGGGAGTCAATTAGCTTAGCGTAGCATTAGAACTGTAAGCAGGGGGAGATAGCTAGCCTAACTCATTCAAAAGTTCAAAAATAAGCATAAGCACCCCTATAGCTCACTAATTATCACATTATATATTGTTTGCTTAACTTTGGAGTGAGTCAAGCTACCGTTTCTTTATGGTTCCAATCCATAGAGCGCACAGACATGTGAGTGTTATTGATCTTCTCCTCTAATCCTCAGGAGAAAGCGCGCGTCCCAAATACCAAATTCCTTTCCTTCAAAGTTACAGTAAAACCCTAAAGATCTCTGTCATGGTTACTTTGATGGTACTTTGGCTACTGGTGGTGGTCAGAAAGTTTTAATAATATGGGCTGCAGAATTCCTTTAAAAATTACACATAAGAAAAAAAAATATTCAAGACGGTCAGTCAGCCAACAATCAACAGTCAGATTTGATGTCTTCTGCATCGCGTCTCGTATGTGAATGCATTATTCACTGTCATTTGCTTCTCTGTGGGTCAGCAAGTCAAATGCTGTAGAGAGACCAGACATATCACAAATGATGTTCCAGATAATGCAAATCTTATTATATATTATAACTTACAGGTAAGGTTTAAATGATAACGGTCAGGTTCACAATTTGCTTAGGACCCACAACCGGCCAGGTCTGCCCCTGCTCCACACTGTTGCTTACTATGAGTTGAAATAGCAACTCAGCTCAGTGCTGTCCCTCTC